ATCCTTTTTATCATCATTTTGAGATTTAAAATGTTTGTTTGATGTACTTGAGCATTAACTATTTGATTATATTTTATTAATTTTATATGTAGGCTATATTAGAAGAAAATCAGTCCATTAGAGAAATACCTTCCAAGCATTCACTTGCAACTTTGGATGGGTATTGCTAGACTTTCGTTCGGGTGAAGAAAGACAATAATGGAAAAAAAATCAATCAATCAGAGAAATTCCTTCGTAACCTTCCAAATCATAACCCTAATTGAGAAAAAAAAAGGAAAGTAGAGCGAAGCAAGACCGCGTTAAGGGAGAAGGGGATAAGATGAGCTAGCGGTTTTGATGCAGGGTCGAAGCTTGGAAAAATTTATAGAAGGCCACAAATTTTTTTTCTTATATTTACATCCAAGGCATTTTAAAGTTAATTTTCAAGTAACTTGAGATTAACTTTTTTACATGATTTTAAATGCACATCTCATATTATTATTTTAGATGCTAACCTCAGGATTTAAATCTTAACAGACTTTTTTTTTTTTTTTATTAGTAGGAAATTGAGGGAAAGGGGAGTAGGTATAATATTGCTGCAGCAGTGGCAGCTAGAACCCTTGGCATAGATGCCAAAGGAATGATGCACTTCCAACGCAGCCGAAGCCGCAAGTGCAAATCTTAATAAACTTGAATCATTAAACAAACCTATAAAATAATCCAATTCTTGTGTTCGCCAAAAAACCATTTTGATCACATTCAATATAAAATAAAGTCTAGTATATATAACATATAAAATGAATTTAATAACTAATTATTACATTCACTAAAACCCATTACAAGTTTTTTCATATAAATCATGCATATTAATTTTAAGTCAGCATCCATCCACATTAGATGAGTAAATTAACTGAAATTAATAACTTAAACATCAAGAGTTACTTGTGCAATCTCTCATGTGGCCTAATGGTGGCCTCATTACTCATTAAGCAATAGGTGGGATACACATTGATCATGGGTTTGATTCTCTCAAGAAACAGACATTAATTAATCTAACCTAGAATTTTCTTTTGTAAAAAAAAAAAAATCATCAAGAGTTACTTGTCATTTTGTTTTCTAAAGAGGCCAATTGCTCATGCTTTTGGTTTGTTAAGGATAATTTTGTAAGAAATATTAAAGATTGAGGATTGATTTACCCAAAAAAAAAAAATGTAGAAGACAGCGAAGGAGTGCAGCCCGGAGCATTCTCCGCCGTCAGGTTCTCAAATCCGACCGTTTTGAGTAGAGGAGTATGCTATCGCCGCCCCTCCATTGCTGCTGCCCCTGGTAATCCCAATCTTCTTCTGGTTTTCTTCTCCTGGGCTTCTTTCCATACTGATTTTCTCTTTTCAATTACTCATGAGGAGGCTCTGTTGTATGTATCTCTCTGCTATTAAAACCCCACACTCTTGTTTCCGCAGCTACCCCACAATCTGTAGATATTTGTTACCATATCATCATATGCCAAACGCTGTGTTCTCTCCTCCAAATTTTTTCAACATTTCACTACCCTTTAATCCCCTCTTCATGATTAGCCGTGCTGCAGTCTCATTTTGTTCAAAAACTGTCTCCTTTGATGAAACCTCTAGTCTCAGTTCCAATGATGTTAGGAAAAAATGTTTAGATAGTGATGTTGCGAAATTATATGGGACTATTATTGATAACTCTTCTGCCCATGGTAATATGGAGAAAGCACTTGACCGACTTGGTGTCAAATTAACAACTCCCTTGGTTCTTGAGGTTCTCCAAAGGCTTCACCTTGAGGAGAAGATAGCATTTAGGTTTTTTACATGGGCAGGTCATCAAGAAAATTATACCCATGAGTCTCAGGCGTATAATGATATGATTGATATCTTGTGTAGTACAAAATATAAGGTGAAGCAGTTTCGGATTGTGTGTGATGTGCTTGATTACATGAAGAGGAGCAACAAGGATGCTGTGCCGGCTGAGGTTTTGATAACGATTTTGAGAAAATACTGTGAAAAGTATCTGACCCATGTTCAGAAATTTGCCAAGAAGAAGAAGATAAGGGTGAAGACACAGCCGGAGATAAATGCCTTTAACTTGCTGTTGGATGCCTTGTGTAAGTGTAGTCTGGTTGAGGATGCTGAGGCAATGTTTAAGAGGATGAAAAAGAGGGTTAAGCCAGATGCTAATGCATACAATGTATTGTTTTTTGGCTGGTGTAGAGTTAGGAATCCAAAAAAAGGAATGCAGATTCTGGAAGAAATGATCCAATTAGGTCATACTCCCGATAATTTTACATATAATACAGCTATTGATACCTTCTGCAAAGCAGGGATGGTTACTGAGGCAGCTGAACTTTTGGAGTTTATGAGAACAAAAGGTTCAACAATGTCTTCTCCCACTGCAAAAACTTATGCAATCATGATTGTTGCTTTAGTGCAGGATGGCAGGATGGAGGAATGCTTTGAACTTATGGGGCATATGATAAACAGTGGTTGCCTTCCTGATGTTTCAACATACAAAGAGTTGATTGAAGGGATGTGTTTGGCTGGGAAGGTTGAAGAAGCTTACAAGTTTTTGGATGAGATGGCAAACAAAGGTTATCCACCTGATATAGTTACATACAATTGCTTTCTCAAGGTACTTTGTGGTAATCAAAAAAGTGATGAAGCACTTAGGTTATATGAAAGAATGATTGATGTGGGCTGTGAGCCAAGTGTGCAGACCTATAATATGTTAATTTCAATGTTTCTTGAAATGGGTGATCATGAGAGTGGATACAAAACCTGGCAAGAAATGCAAAAGAGGGGATGTAGACCAGACAGTGACACTTACTGTGTGATGATTGATGGGCTTTTTGGCTGCAATAAAATTGAAGATGCATGTTTTCTACTGGACGAGGTTGTGAACAAGGGGTTGAAATTACCATACCCGAAGTTTGACTCCTTTCTGATGCAGCTATCTGTGATTGGTGATCTTCGAGGCATCCACAAGCTTTCTGAACATATGCGGAAGTTTTACAATCCTGGTATGGCAAGACGATTTGCACTGAATCAGAAGCGCAAGAGCATGAGTTTAAGAGGGAAGTAAAAGATTCAACAGTTTTTTATTAGCTTGTGGAGGCAGTTCCAGTTTGTTTTTCACTGCTTGCATCTGGTTCAGCTATGTGAATTGCTATAAATAACAGCATGGATCTCTTATAATTCTATAGGGCTCCTGTGAGCTCTAGCCTTGAACCAACATATCATTCCACACTCATTCTCCTATTCTCTGATATAGCTTTGCTTTCTAGGTAATGGTCTCTGCTCATGCATAAAGTTATCTTTAACCCTGTTTCTGCAGGGAAAAAATGCTTACAGTTTTTGGCAAATAAACTGCTTTGTTGGATAAAGTTTTGAAGTTATGCCCAATCCTTTGTTCTCCTGTTTGTATTTTCCTTTTTGCTGCTTTTAGGTGCTTGAGACTTAGAGAGAAGGGTGAGCTTGGAACCCTTTAGTCTATTCTGGCCATCAAGTGTGCTTCATTGTGTGCTCAAAGAACCATGGTTGTTACTGAAAGAGAGCAGCCATAAAAACTCCAAATGTGTATGTATAATATTTTTTGCTCATATCTGTGATGCTGCCTGCCTTATTCCTAGATTAAATAAATGCCTTTTCTTTTCATTGGTGGCAAGCATTGGAGTTTAGGTAGCATTCTTAGTGATCAATCCTTGGACAAGATTTTGTAAGAGAAAAGTATTGTGCTGCATTGCACTAAAGTAATAAAAGCTTTGTTGATTTTAAGCTCATTGTATTTTTGGGGATTTTGGGAACACTTGTATAGATTCTTATTTTTGTTTCTGTTAGTTGAATAGGTCTCTTCAACAGAGCTGGAGTCCCTTTCACCATTTTGTAAATTTCTCATAAGCATTTTAAGATCTAACTTATCCTAATATTTTTCTCCTATACTTTTTCATACTTTCACACGTCTAATTTTTAGGCGTTTAATATCTCCAGTCTCTAAGATTGATGCATGGTATCATAGTTTTAGCCCCTAGCCTTGTGGGCCAACTGGCTAATAGCTAGCTTTGAAGGTCCACTTCCACCAGCATGATGCTGGTTCAAATCCCCACATCCCCTAAAATTTGTACTTCAAAAAAAAATATATTTTTAGAAAAAATAAATAAATTTCCTGGTATATCAGTAATTAATAATTATGAGATAAGAGAAGGCATGTAGAGAGAGAATGGGTCATTGCTGAAAAATAGGATCACTGCGATCTATGTGCCTTGCATCAATGGAATACTTAACTAGTCCTTGTATATATAAATATTCTTCATTTTGATAGGCATCAAATGTTTTAACTTAGAAGCATTCTCATAATTCATCATTGAATTCACTCCAGAGTTGTAGAAAGACTAAACTAAAGGAGGAAATGGTGTTGACAGAGTTAGTCTCTGCCACAGATGAGTATTTGCACTCCACTTTTGCCTCTAGATATGTTCGTGATCCTGTTCCTAGGTATATCTAGTATGCCTTATTCTGTCCTAATTATCTTTTTTTTTTTTCTAGGAAATGAGGAAAGAATGATTAATCTTTGTATGTGTTGCAGGTTCAAGATGCCAGAAAGATCAATGCCGAAGGAAGCTGCATATCAAATGATAAATGATGAGTTGATGTTGGATGGAAATCCAAGGTTGAACTTGGCATCCTTTGTGACAACTTGGATGGAGCCAGAGTGTGATAAGCTGATCATGGAAGCTGTCAACAAGAACTATGTTGACGTGGATGAATACCCTGTTACAACTGAGCTCCAGAACCGCTGTGTAAGCATGATTGCTTACCTATTCCATGCTCCTGTTGGAGAGAACGAGATGGCTGTTGGTGTGGGGACTGTGGGTTCCTCTGAGGCAATCATGCTGGCTGGACTGGCCTTCAAAAGAAAGTGGCAACAAAAAAGAAAAGCAGAGGGCAAACCAATCGATAATCCCAACATTGTCACTGGGGCCAACGTGCAGGTTTGCTCTTCCTTTTTTTATCTTGAAATGCTTAGCTATTACAGATGTTCAAATCCATAGCCTTAATCTCACACTTAAGGTAAAGCTTTGATTGGTTAACATGCAGGTTTGTTGGGAGAAGTTTGCAAGATACTTTGAAGTAGAGTTGAAGGAGGTGAAGCTTAGGGAAGGGTACTACATTATGGATCCCGAGAAGGCAGTGGAGATGGTGGATGAGAATACTATCTGTGTTGCGGCCATTCTGGGGTCAACCCTTACCAGAGAATTCGAGGACGTAAAGCTGCTCAACGACCTGCTGACAAAGAAGAATGAGGAGACTGGTTGGGGCACACCAATTCATGTTGATGCTGCCAGTGGAGGGTTCATTGCTCCTTTTCTTTACCCTGATCTTGAGTGGGATTTTCGCCTACCATGGGTGAAAAGCATCAATGTGAGTGGACACAAATATGGACTTGTATATGCTGGTGTAGGTTGGATCATTTGGAGGACCAAAGAAGATTTGCCTGATGAGCTCGTGTTTCGCATCAATTATCTTGGGTCTGATCAGCCCACCTTCACCCTTAACTTCTCTAAAGGTATGTAATGAATCACTCGTATATATATTTTGGACCAATATTCTAGATCAAATTTGCATGTACCTTATTTAGTTCAAAACTTCAAGTCAAGCTAATCAGGCTTTGATTTGCCCGCCAATCTTCTAATTTCAGTGCAGATAGCATGCTTTTAGAGGGAAAATGAACTTGTTCTGTTACTCACGAACTGGCCTAAGAAACCCCCTGATTGCTAGTCGAAAATGAAATTTTACTCTGAATGTTACTGACATTCAAAATTGTGTTGTGGTGTCAGGTTCTAGTACAATAATTGCTCAATATTATCAATTCATACGGCTTGGATTTGAAGGGTATCAAAACATCATATCCAATTGCATGGGAAAAGCGAGAATACTGAGGGAAGGAATAGAAAAAACAGGGCGCTTCAACATTGTTTCCAAAGAAGTAGGAGTTCCCCTGGTGGCCTTTTCTCTCAAAGACAGCAGCAAACACACGGTGTTCGAGATATCCGAAAGCCTGATACGGTTTGGATGGATCATTCCAGCATACACAATGCCTGCGGATGCTGAGCACATTGCAGTCCTCCGAGCAGTGATCAGGGAGGATTTCAGCCGAGGCTTGGCGGAGAGACTCGTCACTCACATCGAGCAAGTTCTCAAGGAAATGGACAATCTCCCGAGCCGTGTTGCCGCAAAGCTCGTGCAGGCTGCAACCACGGCCGAGGATGTATGCTCGGAGAACGTCACACGTTTGAAAAAGAGTGTTAGAGAAACTCAAGAAGAGGTCACCAGGTACTGGAGGCGGCTCGTGGATCGCAAGAAAGCTGGAGTTTGTTGAGTCTTCACATTGCAGAATCTCTAAATTTGTATTGTTTTTACATATTTAATGCGGATTTTGCTGCAATTTTTGGTGAATTAGAAGGTATATTTTTTGAATTTTTCAATCACACAGTAGTTTAATAATTTGATTGAATGTGATTGTTACCGATTACTTAACAACTTTAAGGACAACAATTTCTTTTTCTATTTTAAAATAAATAAAAAAATAAAAA